TGTGACTTCTGGCATTCCCCAAAACTAAACTCGCCTTTAAAGGGAAGAGATTTCAGAACATCAGTGAGATTCAGAAAAATATGACAGGGCAGCTGGTGGTGACCGGGAGAACTGTGTGAGGTCACAAGGTGCATGCTTTGAAGGGGACTGAGGTGTCATTGTGCTTTGTACAATGTTTCTTGTATTTTGTATATTTTTCAATAAATGTCTCTATTTTTTGTATTGTGTGGCTAGGTACTTTCTAAACAGACTATACACACACACACATGCACACACACAGGCCATACACACACACACAATTGGGGCAAGCTTTTTTTCTAGGTGCACTTCACTATCATTTCGCTGCCCTGTTATACACTTAGTGACTCAGCCTTTGGAACAGATCTTTGTTCAGATTATTTTAGAAGGTGTCCAGTGAGAAAGCTGATATATTGTACAATTGACATGTAAAGTTTCAATTCTTTATAATACTTAAAGATAGGTTATTAATTTTGCTTGTGCCTGAAATTTTCATTATAAGTCAAGTAGCAAGGAGGACATGAAGACAAATGTGACCTGGCTTGACTTCTGCATACATTTCCTATTTTATTCTTGATACTGAATAATGTACAAGTTTGGGAGTATGTCACCGCTGGTCACCATGGCACCAGCTCTCCAAGTGGCTATGGACATTTTTGGTCCCCCCCTCCAAAACAAATGTTGTTTGTAAAACAGAGTCTATGGCCTATGGGTGTACTGAATGTTTTATTTTCACATTATAAAGGAAACCTATAAGTTTACATTATGAAAAGAGAAAGCTGGAACTGTTCAATTTTAAAACTTGTATTCTGCTGCTCCACCTGACGGCTCAACGTGTTGATTGGCCTGTAATATCACCCCCTATACATGCCATTGGTAAAAATGACTTGTTCCAAAACTGTGTAACTGTCCAGACTTGCTCAAGGTCTAAGACTTCCATAAAGCCTTTCCATTTGTAAGAGGAAGTAAATCGGAGATAGCGGAGCAATCAGGAAGCTATTGCAAAGGCCCACGAGAGATAATGAAACCCAATGTAGGTAGCAGACATGTGGTAGGGAGGAAGTATTTCAGAGGCCTTGCAGAGGTTGCTATAGTTGAGAAGAAAAGGGGGAGGGAAGGGGGAGAAAGATTCCCGACTGTCCCCACAGTTGACATAGAGCAACATACATAACAGGCAATAATATGTAAATTGGCTCTTTTGCTGCTGTTGTTGTTCAGGTGTCTTCATTCACTGACAAAGTTCTCCCCAGGTTGTATGATCCTCTGTCCTCACATTTTTTAAGTTACTGTGCTAAGCCCTGCCAACAAGCTCCTCATCTCAGCCTTGCATTTTAACTTGACCCCAGGATTGCTACTGGCCCCTAATCAACTATGTTTCCTCATGCTTTGATGCCTGGGAGTCTGTACAGTTCCACTTGCTTTCTTTATTTGAAAGTGCTGAGATAAGAGCATTAAGAATGTAGTATGCCTTCAGTGGCGTGTGGTGTAAGCCCCTGTAAGGGTAAGGGTGCACTGTTCTTGAGTAATTTTCTTTTCATTCTGAATGCCTCCCTAAAAGGCATGGAGTTTGTAAGTTTTTGTTAATGTAAAAAAAAAGAACATTCGGGCACCTTTACTGTCCTGTTGATGTGCAGGGCTATTTTTAATTTTTGTTCTTCACTCTTTTTCTGTGCTTGTGATTTTTAAGGGTGCCAGACTGCCCTCGAGCCCAGTGTCCCCGATTTCTCCCAAGAACAGGAAAAATACAAGAAGGAGAAGAGCTGGTCATGTCTGGGTCCAGCATATTAGTCTGACCCACTGTGGAAGAATATTCTCCAAAATATAAAGGAGGACCGTTCCTTATGAACGTAGTTTATCTGCTTTCATGACTGAGAAGACAAAATCTTGTGCCAGCACCAAATCACGGCAGTGTTTTTGGATTCAGTGCACCTTAGAAAAATGAGTTTTGTTTGTTTGTTTGTTTGTTTTCTCTTCCATTCCCATCAGTCAAAATTCCATCTGCTAAGGTTGGGCTTGAATGCCTCTTTCTCTGCAGAAACTTTCTGGAGTCTTCTCAGATGTGATTTTCCTTCCACATTTCCATTGCATTTTGTCATGTGACACTTTCTCATGTGATTGTGGTCTCATAATGACTGTGCAAAGTGATGATCTGTCTGATCATTCACGTGTGTCCCACAGAAGCCAAATACAGTACTGGACAGAGTAGATACCTGGGAATGTCCTGAAGAGAATGTGAATTCAAGACATTTGAATTCCAGACATTTCATCTTGACCTTTAGGGCTCTTCTCTGACCTTTCCATCTAATCAGTGATCGAAATCTCCCCTGGGTTCTCAAACTCTCCTTCTGCCATGTAGGCTCAGACCCTTGGATTCCAGACGTTACACCCTGGGCAGCTGTTGTCTGGATCATAATCGCTACCTCTGTGTGCCTCGTAGGCCTGCACGACCAACAATCGGTAACATTGGTCAGAACTATTTTTCCCCCAAGGTATGGTGCGCAGGTCACTGGTGGTCCTTGAATGACTATCAAGGAATCCAGTGTGGCATCTAGAAAGGGAAAGAGGAATAATTAAAACTAATTTTGTAGATCTAGACTTAACAAATTTAAAATTTGTCAATTTGGAGTATAATCTTCTTAGGAATCCAGCTTACTCTTCATAATCACATTCTTTAAAATTTCATATGTACCACATCACCTCTGTTGAGTGGTGCTTACTCAATGTGCAATAACAGTGCCATTCAGCTCAGAGTATTGCCATGTAGTTTGTATAATTTTTTCTGTTGTTCTTAAACCTACATTTTTTATTATTACTATTTTATTGCATTACTTATTTATACCAAGGAAAAGAGATCAGTGATTTGAATATGACTCATAGAAAGTAGAAAAATAGTAGTACAGATAATAACATAAATACTACTTCATATTAATATGCATGTAAATTTTAATGAACAGGCTCCTATATATAGAAAATGAATCTGTTTATGTGGGGATGAGTGTGATGATTCTGCCCAAGCAGTTGAAAAAGAAAAGTTTAAGTGCCAAGTATTTGATGACTCTTTAAAAATTAGACTGCATGCCTTGCCTATAATCCCCAGTATGTTTTCTGTAATGAAGTGTTGTCAAATAGTACCAGGAAGCTCTCAGAATTTTCACATCACTTTCAAACATAGCTCAGTGAACTTTTTAATAAACCAATTCAGAGTTGTTGTTGTTCTTGTTTCTGAACAATCACAAAAATAGTGCCATATGAAATAGCCTACTTTGGTTATTAACAACAGTGAACGTCCAAAATGTTAAACATACCTTTCTAAGGTTATATATCTTATAATAAAAACAGGTACAAGTAAACTCTTGGATAAAAGTTTGCAAATTAAACCACACTGTTTTGATCAAATGTCAAGAACATATTTACTTCACAACACACTAGTTTTAGTGGAAATGACTCTTTTCCCAACACCTGATATTCCTTAGTCCTTAGGGCAGTGATGATGGGCTATACTGTAAAGACATTCAAATCCCACAACAGAATATAAAGACATACTTTTCAGGGCCAAATAAAACTACAGAGGATTGGAAATATATTTGCCTCTTTTCTCCCAAGTCGAAACATTTAGCCCTCCTATTTTTAGGTGTGAAATGGTTGTCAATCCAGTGTGATGGAGGGCTGATAGCGATCTTCCGTGAGAAATTTCTTTATAATGTCAGGTATGTTTTCAATCCTGATGCCCAGGGCCAGGCAGAAGCAAGACTGTATAGTGGTGAAGCCTAGAGATGCTGAAACAAGACAGCTTGAGTGTGAAGTTAGTTAACCATTCTTGTGACTCAGTTTCCTCATCTGTAAAATAGGAAAAATAACAGTACCTATTACATAGCTTGTTGTGAGTGTGAAATGAGTTGATATATTAAAAGCACCTAGAAAATGCCTGGCACATATGGAGCACTGGGTTTGCTCTAGTTTATCCAGAAAAGCCTACAGACTCTTGCTGCCATTCCCAGTGACCTGTAGCTACGGAGTAGAAATAAAGGATAGTTGGGCATGGATCTGACCTCTGATTCAACATCCCCATGACAGAGCCACACATAGATACAGATTGCAACCAGCACAATGCCTCTTGCTGACATAAATTTTTCTTAAATTCTGATTTATTGTCATTTAAAACTTCATGTGAATTTTTAAAAGCAAAACCTGATAACCGTATGTGGGCTGGATGCCCCACAAATAAATCTAAGAATACTGAAAGTTTGCAGAACTCAGGGCCTTGAGGGACTCGAACCCTGAAGTGTGCAGAACTGTTGCAGGGTGTAAGGATGTTCAAACTAGAACAGATGTGGAGGCAACACCAAGTGAACTGCAGTGATTTAAAGATTGCCGGGTATAAGAGAGAGAGCTGTTCCATGAATCCCCAGGAGACAGGATCAGAACTAGTGGGGAGCAGTTAGAGGGAGAAAGCACTTCCTAGCAGTCAGAGCTGTCTGGAAATAATAGGGACAGCCTTTTGACCTGCCTGTCACAGAGAGCTGGCTGCAAAGGTTTCACGACCAGGGCTTTTGTCAAAGGAGTTCAAGTTTGAGTTTGGACGCCGTTCCCTCACAGTCTAACTGGACATGTAGACTCTCCAGAGAGGAGAAAGGCTTTCACAGACAAGGCCCTCTGTGTCTACTGTGCTGAGCTATCTTCCTTAGATGTCCGTGTGAGAGCAGTCGGGGCCCTGGCTGCGAGATCAGGAGACTCCAGTTCTGCTCTGTCATTTTCTGTGGGATCTTGGCCTGTGATGGCCCACTCCTCAACCACTTCATGTAAAATTCCCATCTGCTGGGTGTCCAGGGGATAATGGTGACTCTCGTGGCAATGGTGGTGACAGTGGTGGTCCTATTGCTGCTGACATTGCAAATCTGCTGTCTGCCCCATGTGGTCTTCCACAGCAGGACCAAAAGTGTTCCTTGGTGTGTCCTTAACAGCCTATCCTTTTTTTATTTCAGGCCGCTGTGCTCGCTGTGGGGAAAATGTGGTTGGGGAAGGCACAGGATGCACTGCCATGGACCAGGTCTTCCACGTGGACTGCTTCACGTGCATCGTCTGCAGCAACAAGCTCCGAGGGCAGCCCTTCTATGCTGTGGAGAAGAAAGCCTACTGTGAGCCCTGCTACATTGTAAGTTCAGATTTGGTCCTCGGGTGCTTGGCAAAGATATTTTCTTTGGCAAAGGGCCGATCATCCCACATAGCACATAGCCATCAGCACATAGCCATCAGCTCTTTACTTCTCTCCAGACTTCAACATATGTGTGTGTGTCAATTGGCATAGCTTAATTTTTCCCACGTGTTCCTATGAAGTCAGGAAGGTGTTAACTCACCTTGGGGCTGCCAAGGTGAGTTAACAGTCTGCTGGGAAGACCATCACCCTGTGTATCTCAAGCATGAGTATACAAGCTAGCATGTTCCCCTCTGAAGCATCAGAGAGTTTCCCAAGTGGCAACATCACACCTCTTCATGTCAAGTCTCAGCCTGTACTTGAAGTCGTCAGTATTTGTTGAGGAATGTTACAGGGCTTCTGGACTTTCAGTTGCTTTCAAACTCCTGGGCCCTTTCAATCACCTCTTTTCTATCCAGAAGTTTTCATATCATGCCCAGAAGGTTTTCAATGATGCAAATGGGGAAACCTGTATTATAAACACCTTAAACAGAGTGCTGACTGAGCTAATAATTATTTTCTTTTTAAGAACACAACTATGCTTTAATAATGTCACTGGGTGCCTAAAAAATGCTCACGGTCACTTTATCTTAGCTTTTTGCCAAGCTATTTAAGTCTGTGCATTAAGCTATTGAATGACAGAGCAATTTAATGGGTGAACAGAAAATTTTTTAATGTAAATTTCTTTATTCTTCTGCGTGACATTAGTGTGCCTGTTTAACACATGCTAGTGGAGAAAGTAGTACTCTTTTGCAAACCCACAAAAGAGCTGTGGTTTGGCCCTCAGTGCCCAGGTATTTCAACATAAAAGAAGCTTTCGTTGTAAGACATTGGGTGTTGTACATGGCTTTGTAGATCCCCAAGTTTCAAGTTTGCTGCAGCAGTTTCTGACCTCATTGGCATTTTCCGATAACCTGACAGCTCTAACTCCCTGCAGCCCTGGAGACGCTAGCACAGATCTGAAAGTTCTTCAAGATTAAGATCTCACAGGATTTAATGCTTTGCATGTCTTAAGTTCAATTTTATTTCCTTTTTCTCCACAAAGGCAACTTAAACACATACACAGCATCATTATAGCACCATACAATGTTACAGCTGGAAAAAAAATTAAGATCATGTGTCTGTCTAAACTCTTCATTTTAAGAAGTGAGAACAGAGACAGAGAGGAAGAAAGTGACTTCTTATCTTCTATCATTACAGTTCAAGCCAGGGCTCTATTCACTTGTTGGCACTTGTAGTCCAGTGGTTTTTGCAAACATCACATAGTTTCAGTTTGTCCAGAACATAAACAAAGATTTGGAAAGAGCAATTGCATATCGGGGGAAATCTAGTGAACAAAAGCTTACCTCTGTAGTAAATAAGACTATTTCAAATGTCACCCTTTGAAGTCTTTGTCAGAAAGAGAAAATCACAAAGTCCCAGCCTTTGTCAACAGATTGTGCAGACTGTCATTTGCAATGACATTCACATCGGACCACCACTATGACATCGTTACACTATTGCAGTGAGCTCTGTGGCCGTGGGGTCAGCAGGGCCTACAGAAGCAAGTGTGTGTGGCTGTGTGTCCTTACACTGATCACAGACTGCTGTGTTTTGTAGCTCCTGTGTCCATTGTCCATCTATTTTTGGACTGCCTGTTGATTCTTGCTGCTTTAATGAAGCTCCCGTGGCAGGCTTCTTCAGTTTTTCCTTTGTCCTTTATGAACGAGTAATAATATGAACAATATGGGGAAACAACGTAATGTGAGGTGAAGAGCATGGGTCTGAATTTGGTTCTGTCACTTAATGTCTTGTCTTCCTGGGAGATGTAACTTGATCGTTCTAAGCCTCAGTTGCCTCATGTCTGTAGTGGGGTGCTTGCAGGATTTTATCCAAAGGTTTGTGAATGTGAAATGAGGCAATCTGCCTTGGCCACTGTGGTCCAGTTGGTTGGAGCCTTATCCTGTGAACCAAAAGCTCACGGGTTCAATTCCTGGTCAGGACACATGCCCAGGTTTCATGTTTGGTCTCTGGTTGGGGCGCATGTGACTGGCAACCACTCCATGTTTCTCTCTCACATCAGTGTTTCTCTCCGTCTCTTTCTCCTTCCCTTCTCTCTCTCTCTCAAATCAGTGAGCATGTCCTCAGGTGAGGATGGATGGATGGATAGATAGATAGATAGATAGATAGATAGATAGATAGATAGATAGATAGATAGATTTTAGAGAATAAAGGTGAGAAATGAGGATATCCTTATAAAGCATACATTTTTAACTCAAGGAATAGTGCTGAAGTGAATGCTGTCCTGAGATTAATTCTGACGAGCTTTCTGGCCTGTTCAGGATTTCTGAATATAAGGACCTTGCATGTGCAGTGAGATTCATTGGACTTGAGGAGATCATTTTAACCTGTCAAGTGTAGCACCGTCCCATTTTAAATGCTTCGCTTGCTCTCCTGAGTGTGTAATGAGACAGAAGAGGGCCGAATCTTGCTAAATCGAGGGTTTCTGCGGCGCGCAGGCTCAGGTTCCTATCTCCATTCCCGGCACTGGAGCTCCGGAGTCTCCAGGCCGCAGCTGTTTGCTTCAGTTGCCCGATAACTATGCTGTGACTATGACGAGGAGCAGCATCTGAGAGGTGGTCACATCCCGTGGAAGCCCTGGGTGAATTCCAGTAATGGAAATTCCGACCATCCTTTTGAATGCTCTCACTCATAAGAACCTTTAATCATGATTTTTCTTTAACGAGCTCTATCCATGGTGACTCTAAAATGTAATTTAATCCTTGTCAGAATTCAGTTAAGCTTTACTCAGAGACCCTTGTTCAGTATTGATTTTAGAGTTGGGCCTAGCCCTTAAGCCCCCAGATGGATGTGTTAGCATTTTAATTTCTTCTGCATTTTCCTAAGTCCAATAAGCTGCCACATTAGGAATGCGCAGTTTTCTTTTGTGGGGACTAGGAAAGCTGTGTGTATCCCTCCTGGAACCAAAGCCCTTAGAACAAATGCATGCGAGGTCATCCAAACTGCCTCTTGTCCCACCAGTGGGAACCCATGTCTGAAAGGCATCCTGTACAGAGCGGAGCAAACCCAGGCCCTAGGCTTCCGTTGGTGGGTGTTCATCTAAATTCTAAATCAGTATATTGAAGATAGTCGTTTATTTACTTATTTCTCTGTACAGACCACCTGTGTTTGATGGTCTGAGGCCAAGAAGTAAACCAATCTAACATAAATTTATTCTTGCCTAAACTGACCAACTTTAAATTATAGTTAGGTTAAATATGAACATAATTTTGAGGAAAACTATACCAATAATGTCTTCATATTTGTTTCAATGATTAGTCAGATTTTTTATAGTCTCTTAAATTCTTAAGCACACACACATAACTACAATTAAATAAATTTGATGCTGTACAGCACTGTAATTCTCTTTAATAATTTTATACATACTTTTATTTTTCCTATCAATTGACTTCATAGAAATATGTATTAGCTTTTGATGGTTAATAATCTTTATTTTTAGCCTTTTACATATTTAGTTCTACATTATATTACACACTAAATTTTAAAGCCACTTGCACTAGAAAGGTATTGGGCATGTTCTAATCTTTCAATATGGTAAACAGCTTGCCTATAAATTATTAAAATTTCCATATATTTTATTTTGATTTACTTTGTTAGCATAACTTTTTTTATTTATATGACACAGTTTAGAAAGATTTTTTAGTTTACAGAGCCATCGCAGCAATGAAGCAGTATGTTAAACTCTAACCTATCCACTATTGAAAACTTTACATTTATTTGGAATCAATTTAATAAGTACATTATCTAATAGTTATTTCAGTTTGAATTTGTATAATTGTTAGCAAAATCAGTGAGATGTGTTTCTGCTTTGGTGATAGACCTCTGAAAAGCTTCATTTTGATTGTTCTTGTGGATCTGTGTAAGCGAGCAGCTTAATGGGAAACACTAAGCTCCCATGGGAAGTAAATTGATAAAAGTAGAATATGTTGGTTCCAGTACTTGGTCTCCTGGTGTGACTTTGGGTAAGTCATTTAATTTCTTAGCACCAGGATACACATTGTTAAAGGGAGACATCAACTTCTTTCCTGTCTTCCAAGAGAAGGAATGAACAAGTATGGTATTTTGTATATCATGAAATTGTTCATTAATATTAGGGTTTGCTTTGATCAATGAGATTATTGGCATCGCCTTTTCCCTTGTCATAATCCGATGCAATTTAGAAATACTCTAAGTTTGGGGTAATTCACAGCTGTGTTTCTATGGAAATACCAAAATCAATAGGTATTGTAGAAGGAATATGAGGACATATATGAGAAGACTTCTGTGTTTGGCTTAAGAAAGTTTTTATGTTGGTATGAGTATGAAGAGTGGCCACAGAACCTCCTACTTATGTGTCCTTCTGCCCTTAACGAGACAGGTTTACCCGTAAGTGCTGATTTACAAAAGAATTTCTGTGTTCTTAGCATCACTCAAGAGTCTGGGTCTCTAAACACTGCACATCAGTGAGTCTCAGCAACTCTGTTTACAGAAGGCAGCCAAGGATCTGCCCCTCAACCAGGGCTCTTACTCAGAGGGGAGGAAATCCTAGTCCTAACTCTCCAGCGGTGGAAGTTGGTACAAACATTTTTATTAGAGTTAAGATCCAAGTGATTAAAATGCCTCAGGAAATAGGAAGCCAACTCCACAGGACACTAAACATTTCGATGCTCCTGAATTTGGCACATTAGTGGCCAACACAGGAGTGGTTTTTTTGCTTCCTTATGTCACTAAATGGCTACAGTTAAAACAGTCTAACTTTTCAACCACCATTAAACAGTAGGTATCTCACATCTTTTGGAAAGTTATTCTTTTTTAAGCTCAATTCTTCCTAATAAAATGTTTTAAAGGAAGTTATGGCCAGGGCTTTCTGTGGATATTGGGAAATGAACTGCCAGTTCAGACCAAACCTGAAAAACTCACAT